CAGCTAGTGTAGGGTAGGGCTGGGGGGAGTTGGAGAGAGAGAGAGAGAGAGAGAGAGAGATCTGGTCTGGGTCGGCTTTGACCGGTCCCTCCTCCAAGTTTGTGAAACTGGAGCGCCCATGGGCGGTCATATCCGGGGAGGTCTAGAGGCCCGAAGTTGGGGCGCAGTTGTGTCCTCTGATTTGGGGGTGCCGTGTCTGGCTCAGTCGGGCACACCGGGCTTCCTGGGTCCTCCTGGCTCAGCTTCGGAGGCGTGGAAACCCTCAGATCCCCCACCATCAGGTTCTCCCCCGGACTTGGTGTGATCCGGGTGGGGCTCAGCACCCAGAACCCACAAACCGGAATGGCAAGCTTGTGAAGTTATTTACAAACCGGGGCGGGCGGGGCGTCGTCACCTCACCTTTTCTGGTGGCCTAACCGAACCCTGTTCCTCTCAGAGCCTCCTGTCGTTGGGCCCAGACCTGTCATCCGACCACGGAGGGACCGACCCCTCGGTCTTTTGGAGCATAAACTCGTCTGACTCCATCCCAGCCGGGGTCACTTCCCGCCTGACCGGCCGCTCCACCAGCCTGGTGGAGGGCCGAAGCTGCGGTTGGGTGCCCCCACCCCCGGGTTTTGCACCCTTGGCTCCCCGCCCGGGCCCTGAACTGTCACCCTCACCGACTTCGCCTACTGCGACTCCCACCACCACCACCACCACCGCCTCCCGGTACAAGACCGAGCTCTGTCGGACCTACTCGGAGAGCGGGCGTTGTCGATACGGGGCCAAGTGCCAGTTTGCCCACGGCCTGGGTGAATTGCGCCAGGCCAATCGACACCCCAAGTACAAAACGGAACTCTGCCACAAGTTCTACCTCCAGGGCCGCTGTCCCTATGGCTCTCGATGCCACTTCATCCACAACCCCAACGAAGACCTGGCTGCCCCGGGCCAGCCCCATGTGCTTCGACAAAGCATCAGCTTCTCGGGCTTGCCCTCTGGCCGCAGAACCTCGCCGCCGCCACCAGGCTTTCCTGGCCCTTCCCTGTCCTCATGTTCCTTTTCACCCTCTAGCTCCCCACCACCACCCGGGGACCTTCCACTTTCCCCTTCTGCCTTCTCTGCTGCCCCTGGGACCCCTGTGACTCGAAGAGACCCCGTTCCAGCCTGCTGCCCCTCCTGCCGAAGGTCAACCCCTAACACCATCTGGGGGCCCTTGGGTGGCCTGGCTCGGAGCCCATCTGCACACTCCCTGGGATCCGATCCAGATGACTATGCCAGCAGCGGCAGCAGCCTGGGTGGGTCAGACTCACCCGTCTTTGAAGCTGGGGTGTTTGGGCCTCCCCCACCCACTGCACCCCCAAGGCGTCTCCCCATCTTCAATCGCATCTCTGTTTCTGAGTGACAAATGCCTAACTAGTGTGGGTCAGCTAGATCTCAAGAGGGTTGCTTATTGTTGTGGGGACCTAGGGGGGGACTCCTAAATCCCTAAGTGCCTCCCTGACATTCCAAAATGCATTAACCCACTCCCCTGGTGCTGTGCTGGGGCAGGTCCCTAGTTTGCAAATTCAGTGTTTGGGTGTATTGGTTCATGAGGTACCTAAAATGTAGCATTTTTGTGGGGGACAGTTGACAGTTGGTCTTCCAGGCCCAACTCTTTTGGGTTGCTTCTGAGATAGGGCTTAGTATAGAGCCCAGGCTGTCTTTGAACTTGAGATAATCCTTCCTTAGATTCCTAAGTTTTGGTGTTATATAGGCATGCACCAGCCCCCTCCCCAACTCTGGTCTCCTGGAATCTTAAGTGCTGTGAAGAGCTGGCTCCCACAACCCCATCCCAGTTTTTACTAGACCCGGAGTTTCAGTGTCTGGTGGTTGAAGCCTCCCCTGACGGAGAATCCTGGTGCTCAAATTTCCCTCCGAAAGCAAATAGCCAAAGCCATTGCCAAATCCCTTCTCCAACCAGTGGGCCCTTTATTTATGACGACTTTTATTTATTGTAATAAGATTTTATAGTATTTATATATATTGGGTCGTCTACTTCGTGTTTTCTTTTTGTAATATTAAAATGGATACTGTATTAAGTATACTATAATATATTAAGTAATATATTGCTACCTTACAGGTCTATTTTTGTGGTTTTATGGAATTTTTAAATAAAATCCCAAGTGCGAACTGAGATGGAATTGCTTTATTTTCACGGGCCACAGCTGTGGGATGGTGGGCAACCTGCCCTCCAGCCTCGCCGGGCAGCCTCTGGGCGCTTACCTGGCAGGAAGTGACGCTCCCCTCCGGTTGGTTCACCTGAGGGGGCGTGGTGAGGTGAGGTCACCCAGCAGAAACCAGGAGAGCTAGTTCTGGCGTTGGGGGCGCTCCAGGCC